CTCACATTCTCATTCCATTCTTGGTGTTCCCATAGCACTTTGTACATTCATCTTTCAGCACATGCCTCACAGTATTGTTGCATTTTTTGTCTTTCCAGCCAGACTTCATTGAGGGTGGAGATGCTGAATGTAAGCTTAAATGATATGTGTGTGCAGTTAAGATCTTATCAAGCATTTAAAATAGCTATTTCCTGGAGAGGGAAGGAGAGAATAGTAGAGAAGCAATCTGAGCATCTAGAAAAAGTTTTGGCATTTTTTAAGTATAGGCTAGTGACAGAACAGTTGGGAATGAAATTCAGCTGTGATTGAGACACTTAGTTTGGCACTTGGACATATACTATTTTATTGGTTTAATCTGACCCTCACAGTGTGCTGTGAGACAGCTGTGATCTCACTTTACACTTTATTAAGGCCACTAAGTAAGTGGTTTGTTCACTGTCACATTCTTCTAGTAAACAGTAAGGTGCTTATACAATGTTGAATGAGGGAGGGACTGGGTCTGACACCAGCTCACACTGATGCCGCACTGTGCGGCCCAGCCTACCAACACCACATTGTGTTGAGGTGGTGTGTTCTGGGTATGTTTTCCTCTTAATCTTTTAGGGGAATTCTGTGCATGAGAGCATGTTTCTATTTTTGAAACAGAAACCAGTGAGAAAGTATGATTTGTTAACAAAAATTGACTTTACAGCAATGTTGCAATGTTTCTTTGAACTGCTGTTTAAATTTTAAGACATCAGTTGTCTTAAATGTCTTTTTACCCTAATTTCAAATGGCATTATAACCACATGAAATAGTATGAATCTCCTTTAAACTGTCACATTTCTTCACGATGCCTGCAGCTGCTTAATTTCAGCAGTTGGCTTATTTGAAAGTAGTTGTCATTTATAGTCAGGTTTCATAGAAATGATAAGTTTATTTGAGAACTCTGATTAAAGATCAACTTCTTATAAGCTTCCATTGAGTTGTTAGTATGGCTTATAGTAGATAAAATGTTCCCTGTGACTCATTTATACTTCTTAATAAATGCATAGTGGGTGATACCTAAGTAGATAAATGTGGCAGGAGCTATAATAGTTTGCTCCCTTTATCATCTCAGATAAGTAAAGTTCCTAAATACACAGCTGGAGCTGAAATTATAGTTATGGTCAGTCATTAGGAGCCTCAGTGGGTTAAATGTCACCTCATTTAAAGTATGTTACGTACAGTTTTTTTAGTTAATTCAACAGTTTTGTTTTGTTTTCTAGCACTTGTGTTGGGCAGTCTTCTCACTGGAGATTCAGGAGTGAGCAATGCTGTTGAAATTAATGTGAGAGAAAGCAAATTCTATCGTAGATTATTGATTACCTTTAAAATATTGTTTGTTATTATTTGCAACCAAATCTCACATCTACTCCCGGATCCTATAAAGAAGAGACAGTGGATCTTACTGCACATTTAAGAAAGTAACTGTCATGATTTGAGCCACCTTCTCACAAAATTAATTTAAAATACTTCTAAACTCAGGGTTTCAATTATATAGATTAATAATTGCATGTAGATCAAATAATAAAATTCAGAACCTTTCATTTTAAAAGCTTAATGCAAAATTTCATATAAATGAAATTAGTCATTTTTCATGTTATAAAACCCATAGCTTATAAGTAATAGGAGCCAACATTGATTAAGCACTTACTATTTGCCACACAGTGTTCTAGGCTCTGTATGTATTACAACTCATTTAGTTCTCACCACACCCTTTGTGGTAGATTCCTTATCCTCCTTTCATGAATGTGCAGATTGAGGCAGTTGGAAATTGTGTCTTGTCACTGGTCACATAGCTTGTAAATCATGGGTGGGGAATGTCCAGCCCTCGGGCCATATAAGGCCCTCAGAATCATTTGGTCTGGCTTTGCCAAGGTACTAGGCCAGTGATGGCGAACCTTTTGAGCTTGGCGTGTCAGCATTTTGAAAAACCCTAACTTAACTCTGGTGCCGTGTCACATATAGAAATTTTTTGATATTTGCAACCATAGTAAAACAAAGACTTATATTTTTGATATTTATTTTATATATTTAAATGCCATTTAACAAAGAAAAATCAACCAAAAAAATGAGTTTGTGTGTCACCTCTGATACGCGTGTCGTAAGTTCGCCATCACTGTACTAGGCATAAGTTAATTAAGTGTTACCAAATATAGCAGGCTACTTTTTAAATTGATAATTTTGTATGGCACATGAATGATGTTATCAATATCCAAATAGCCCTTGGCAGAAAAAAGGTTTCCCATCCCTGATGCAAATAATGGAAATGCAATCAGAACTTCGGTTTTTGGAATCCAGATCCCAATACTGTTATTTACTTTTCTATAAATTGTATGCACTTTAAATATGTGGACATATCCTATATAATAAAAGCCTAATATACTAAGTGTCTGACCGTTTGACTGTTCGACCAGTCGCTATGGTGCGCACTGACCACCAGGGGGCAGACTCTCCAACTGGTAGGTTAGCTTGCTGCTGGGGTCCTGCCGGTCGAGACTGGGTGAGATGGGCTGGACATGCCCTGGGGCCCTCCCGCGATCCCTCCCCGGCCCTGATTGTGCACGATGGGGTCCCTCAGCCTGGCCTGCACCTTCTCGCAATCTGGGGACCCTCGAGGGATGTCCACAGGCCAGGCCAGGCCGAGGTACCCCACAGGTGCACGAATCTGTGCACCGGGCCTCTAGTAAAAACATATCTGTCTTAAATATATTTAGTAATATAATTTTCTGGATCTTGAGATAATGTAATCTGTGGCTTTCTTCCTCTTTCCTCTACTTTTGATATAATCTATTTTTTAAAGAAATCTATATATATAAAAGGCTAAGCGTCCATCCATTCGACCGGTAGCTATGACTCACACTGACCACCAGGAGTGGGATGCTCAATGCAGGAGCTGCCATGGCGCACACTGGCCATTTAAAAATAAATGGCACCACAGACATAGTGCCCACAAACCAACATTCGGTTTCCCCCAAGTGAGACACAGGCCCCACCACCACCCCGGAGCGACACCCCACCAAATCACAGCCAACACTGCCAAGACCCCATGGCGCAAAATGTAGCCCACAGTCTAGCCCAGTCCAGAAACGGTTGCTGTGGGTGCCGGGTAATGACATCATGTAGCAACACCTGGCTTCCTCTTCCTAGCGACTAGCCTCCTTGGAGTTTCTTCAGCCCAGGAACCCAACTTGCTTTATAGCCAGGTGCAAACATTTTACAGTTTAACGAAATGTTTGTGAAGCATTTTCACATGCCTCATTTCATTTGATCCTCACAGAAGTCCTGGATTAGGTAGATAGGAGACTCTTTAGAATTCTATTTTCTTTTCATTAGCCGGAAAATGGAGATTTAGAACGTTTAGAAACTTGACCTGACTGAAAAGAAGTAAGAAATGGTGGACCTTGAAAATGACTTTAGGTTTTCTCACTGCACAGGATATAGTCAAATACTGCTGCAGTTAAATATTTTACCCTTTGTTCTCCCTTCATGATCTATAATAATAATCTGCTTCGTGTTAATATTTACTGCTGTGTTGCTGACAATTACTTGAAAGAGAAGTTGGGGTGCTTCACTGGGCTGGAAAAAGTTTAGCTAAATCAGAAAGCAGGTCTAATTAAGCAAGCTTATTCTACATATATAAAAGGCTAAGTTGACTCACACATGCAAAATGCATATAAAGCTCTCACTGGCGCCAATTGCACATGTGTGTTTTGATCTGTCATTGTCGATCGTGACTTTGGTTGATACTTCTATTATAGAGAAAGGGCGAATGGCAATATTAGAATATTTCTTCTAATTAATTTCCTTTCAATGTGCATGAATCCGTGCATCGAAACACTAGTGTTACTATAAAAGGTTTAATAACAAAAGTTTCAAATTCTCCTTTGCAAGCCGTTCAGGCATGAATTTCTTACCTCTGCTCCCACAAGGAGGAGGAAGAAAAGGTTAGCAGAGAGAAACAAGCCCTTGAATTGAGTTTCTGTGAAAACTATCTTTTGAAACTCCTTATCACAGTCATACTAACTTGAAATTATGTCTTTTATATCTTACTGTATTTTTATAGATACATGTGTGGGAAACATTAATTTTCACACACTGGATGTATTTACAAGCATACATTTTTATAGTGGGAGGACATTCATCTCAAGGATGAAAAAGTATGATGGCTTGTTCATTTTTCACTTGCAGTCCAGTGGCTGCTTACATCATTGCAGCGGCAGGAGGCCTTCGACCTCACCTAGCAGTTGGGCATTCCCAGAGGTGTGCATCTTAATTGGAAATGAGTCACCACTTTATGTTTTGCCATTGATTAGACAATGAGCTTTTCTTCTGTGGCTGTCAAAGGCCTTTACATCTCTGTTGATAGCAGCTTCTTAAATTAAAAAACAAAACACAAACCAAGACAAAAATATGTTAAATCCATAGGGGCAGCTGGTTCATCGTCCTGGTTTCATTACATAATATTTTAAAACTTTGCTCTAAAGAGTGAATGCTGTATCATTCTTGAGAAAGAGCATATCTTATAATGAGAAAAAATTTCTATTCTGCAAATATCACAGAACAGAAATCACACCTACAGCCCAGCCCATCTGATAGGATAAATTGTGTTAGGATACATAGAGTAGTAACGCTAATGATTTTCCTGGAGGGAAGTATACCTTGTAGATATGACATGAGCCATGTTGAGGAACTGAGGGAATCAGTTTGGGCATATTTTTATACATTTTAAAAATAAATGAACTCTTAGCACTTTACTTTTTAGTCCTTTTACATTTATATAGAGCAGCAGTAAAACACAGAGCTTCTGTCTGATCATGCATTCATTTTAGAATTTATGCTTTGTATTGCTATAAAAGGTCAGAAAACAAATATACTACTTTAAGCTAAATAATGTTATTTAACATGATGCCCTTTATTTATAGTACTCATGGAATCTTGTTGCTTGAAAAGTAAAGATACTATTTCTTTTTCCTCAGAAACGTGCCAAGGGACAAGTATTATTTGACAAAGTGTGTGAACATCTCAACCTCTTGGAGAAGGACTACTTTGGACTTTCGTTTCAGGAAAGCCCTGAGCAGAAAGTAAGTGAAATTTCAGGTTTATTATCTATATTGTCTTAGAAAAATACTGTAATTTTTTTATTAGTGTAAAATTTAGCTTTAAAACAACATTTGTTTTTATTATGACACTAGAGGCCCGGTGCATGAAATTCGTGCACAGGGGGCGGGTGTCCCTCAGCCCGACCTGCCCCCTCTCATAGGGGTGGGAGGCGACCCGGCAATCAGGGGAAGGCGATGCTCCCATCACACCTCTGCTGCTGCCACTGCCGGCAGCGCAAGCCTTGGCTGGCCCTGGTTACCTGTGCCTCCAGCCGGCCTGGCGGGGCTGAGGGGACTGGGCACCACCATCTTTGAGGGCATGGCAGTCAATTAGCATATTCCCTTCTTATTGGCTGTGGGCGCTGCCATCTTTGAGGGCGTGGCAGTCAGTTAGCATAGTCCCTCCTTGTTGTCCGTGGGCACCGTCATCTTTGAGGGCTTTGCAGGCAATTAGCATATTCCCTTCTTATTGGCTTTGTGCTGCCATCTTTGCGATGGTGTGAGGGTCAATTAGCATATTCCCTCTTTATTAGATAGGATTTTGTGTTGTTCATATAAATTTGGTAAATATTGAAAACGTGTGTAGGGTGAATCACCTATAACTTTATGCCATTGTGTGTCTGCTTTTTCACTTACATTATAAGCAGACATAATGAAATGCTTTATCCTATGTTAATTGTTAGAAACAGAAAGAATTGATTTAAAAGCTTTCATATTGAATTTTTAGCTCTTGAACTTACCTGTGTGCTAGGAATTAAGTATGCCTGCAAAGCAGGGAAGGAGGCTATTGGAAGGAATCTTAAGAGTACCCATATGTACTTGTTTATAGGTTCCAGAGAGTATTTGCCTTGTGGAACAGACTTTGATAGCTATGTGGGGTGAAGATGTTTCTTGCCCTATTGTTGGGTTATTGGGGGATAAAAAGGAGATGGGGGTCCAGCCTGACACGGGTGGTTATATTTAACCAGCCAGGACCCAATGGAAGTGTCTGCCTGACATCAGAAATGTGTAGAGATTGTTTCTGCTCCAGGAATTTCCCAAGATACTAAGTAGGAGCATACGAGTTCTATAATGACTCATGATAATTCAAGGAACTTAAGGGCTTTTCAGTTACATAGGTAAATTAAAGAGAGAAAAATTAACCAGTCCTGACAATTCACAGACTTAACCTGTAGACTTTTGTCTTAGTTAGTTCCGCCTTTTCTAACAAAGTACCTGATGGCTTATAAAGAACAGACATGTACATCTTATAGCTTAGGGGGCTGGGAAGTTCAAGATCAATGTGCCAGCAGATTCGGTTTCTGGTGAGGGCCCACTTCCTGGTTCACACAGTGCCTTCTTGTTGTGTCCTCAGATGGTGGATGGGTCAGGGTGTTCTCCGAAGCCTCCTTTATATAATCCCATTCATGAGGATTCTACCTTCATGATCTATCAACCCCAAAGGCCCCACCTCCAAATACTTTCTCGTTGAGGATTGGGTTTCAATATATGAATTTGGGGGGTGGGGTACAAACATTCAGCCTCTAACACTTTCCTCATTGTTAAGAAAGGACTTTATCTCTTCTACTAGTATGTCACTTTCTCAGTCTTAGGACTTAGGTCTGGTGAAGCTATTGGGTGTAGAAGAGTAAAGGTTTGGTCCAAGGTTGCACCCTAAAGTGAAGCCCTTTTAAGTCTGTAGATGGTGGCTGTGGACAGACACACTGTGAACATTCTGAGTGAGGATGCCCAAAGCACTTTGTCCCAGTGAAAGGAGTTCCGTTCTCATATGGAACATTCACATCACAGTCAACAGAACAGAACATTTAGGAGATGAATATAGGCTATAACTTTTATTTACCCACATGCCATCATTGTTTGTATTTATATGTCCTGGTAATGAAATACAGGATATAAGGATGATAATTATATATGCATTAAATTTTCTCAACTTGTTTAGTTTTAAATCCTTGATACCTAATTTGTGGCTTAATTCCACATTTAAAGTAAAGACAATTAAATTGCATGCCTGCTTGCTGAATAGTATGTGGGTGTTCTTATTAGACCCCTATTTAGAATATTTTTCTCAGAAGTAATAACATATTAGACATTTGACTAAATAAACTAGGCCCTCTTTTTAGACTTTACATTATAAGATGGTTTTGATAATGTTTCCAATCATGCCCTTCTGTTGGCCCTCAAAGCTGCAAAAGAGAGAGTGATGGGAATTTGGCTATCATTGTCCACTCTTTTGAAGCAGGCCCTCACCAAATACTGAATCTGCCAGCACCAGGAGGGGCAGACTACTAAAAACCAGTAAGTGGATTGCTGTTGACAGTCCTGTGGAGATTGTAGATTTTACAATTGCGATGGCAAAATTATATATATATATATATTTTGATGTTTTTCTCTAATTGCCACCTGCAACCTGGGTATGATAGTGGAGAAATGGAGTATTAAAGGGATTCCCACCTGGCTGGTATGGCTTAGTGGTTGAGCATCGACCCATGAGCCAAGAGGTCCCGGGTTTGATTCCCAGTCAGGGCACATGCCTGGGTTTTGGACTCAATCCCTGGTGGGGGAGGTCATGCAGAAGGCAGCTGATTGATGTGTCTCTCTCAGCAGTGTATCTGTTGCTCTATCCTTCTCCCTTTCTCTCTAAAATCAATAAAAAATATATTAAAAAATTATTTTATTTTTAAAGGGGTTCCAAGTTGGCTATGTTCATGTGGGTTATGATAAGACAAAAGATTTAGAAAACTGGAGATACTGATGAAAGAGTAATCAAGCTGATTATTCACAGGGTCAGGGAGGAACATAACTGAAGCTGAAATGGGCTGATAAGCTGGGAGAAATGGCTAGGGCCAAGGGATGAAAAACCAAAGAAGTTAAAGAGGAGGTACAGTGGGAATAAATGTGTAGAAAACTTAAAATAGAGAGGGGATAATTGCACCTGAGAACGGGATGATGAAGCCTAATGAAGTGGAGAGCTTTGTGTGATGACAAAACCAAGTGTTGAGTCATGAAAAGGATGGCTGAAGTGAAGAAGTTAAGGTCATCAAGGCAGAGAATATTAAAATACTAGAGGCCCGGTGCACAAAAATTTGTACACTCGGGGGGGGGGGGTCCCTCAGCCCGGCCTGTGCCCTCTCGCAGTCTGGGACCCCTCAGGGGATGACCACCTGCTGGCTTAGGCCTGCTCCCCGGGGGATTGGGCCTAAGATGGCAATCAGACATCCCTCTGGCAGCCCAGCAGCCCTCGGGGGATGTCCACTTGCCAGCAGGGAACAGGCCTAAACTGCAGTCAGACATCCTTAGCGCTGCTGAGGAGGCAGGAGAGGCTCCCACCACCACCGCTGTACTGGCAGCCATCAGCCTGGCTTGTGGCTGAGCAGAGCTCCTCCCATGTGAGAGCACCCTGACCACCAGAGGGCAGCTCCTGCATTGAGTGTCTGCCCCCTAGTGGTCAGTCTGTGTCATAGTGACCAGTCATTCCCAGTCCTTCTGCTGTTAGGGTCAGTTTGCATATTACCCTTTTACTATATAGGATAGAGGCCTGGTGCACGGGTGGGGGCCGGCTGGTTTGCCCTGAAGGGTGTCCCGGATCAGGGTGGGAGTCCCGCTTGGGTGCCTGGCCAGCCTGGATGAGGGGATGATGGCTGTTAGCAGCTGGTCACACCCCCTTCAGGGTGGGGGTCCCCACTGGGGTGTCTGGCCAGTCTGGGTGAGGGGCTGAGGGCCGTTTTCAGGCTGGCGGGTGACTGAAGCTCCCAACCTCTCCTTTTTTTTTATTCTGGTATTTATTTACCTTCTATGGCTGTCACTGAAACTGAGAGCTGGCTTTAGCTCTGAGGCTTGGCTCCAGCTCTGAGACCTCGGCTGCTGAAAGCAGGTATCTGGGTTTGTTTGGCTTCTATAATTGAAACACTGTTGCAGCTCCAGCTCCGAGGCCGGCTGGCTGAAAGCAGGTTTCTGGGGATTGTTTAGCTTCTATAATTGCAACATTGTTGCTTAGAGTGCAGCTCAGAGGCTGGCAGCGGCAGGCGGGGAACCTTGGCTTCCTCCATCACTGGAGCAAGCAAGCCTCCTGTTTGCTTCAGCTGCCTGGCTGCCGGCCGCCATCTTGGTTTGCAGTTAATTTGCATATCTCCCTGATTAGCCAATGGGAAGCGTGTCAGAGGTATGGTTAATTACCATGTGTGTCTATTATTAGATAGGATGGTTAAGCTTCACCATAGTATTCTCATTAACAAAATAATGCTAATGCTAAATAAGGATCATAATTCCTTGTTTACTTTGGAGTTTCTCTTATGAAATGGGAGATGAAAATGCTCACACATTTTGTCATACATTTTGTTATCTAGGCTTTTAGAGCATTGGGAGAATAAACAGTGGGGTGACCTTTCTGAAATATTCACTTTTTAGAAAATTAATGTGTAAATGTAATTGGCAATATATTTAGTTATTCATATATAACCTGTTTGTTTTTATAACTTTTGTATTATATAATTTAGTTGTTGTTGCTGTTTGTTTTTGTTTTTTTTAATCCTCACCTGAGAATATTTCTTCCATTGATTTTTAGAGATAGTAGAAGGGAGGGAGAGAGAGGGAGGTAGGAAGAGAAAAAAAGAGAGAAACATTGATTTGAGGGACACATCCATTGGCTGCCTTCCATATATACCCAAACCCGGGTGGAAGGTCAAACCTGCAACCTAGGTACTTGCTGTTGACCAGAAATTGAACCCGAGACACTTTGGTTCGAGGGCCCGTGCTCTAATCACTGAGCAACACTGGCCAGGGCAAGTATTGTATAATTTTTCTATTCCTTCTTGCTTGTGTAGATAAAATTCAGTCCTGAAGACATCTAGGCAAAAGTACTCTTATTTTTCAAATATAGATTTGTATTGTATCCTATTTTCCTCAGAAAATTATTACCATTGTAACAACTCAGTTCAGTCCAATTTTCTTTGAAACTCATGCTGTTTCAACAATAGGATACTATA